GCCGAAGAAACTACATACCAAAAACAATATCGGATTAACAAAAAGAAAAAAAAGTAACCTAACAAAAATGACGTTCTTTATACACCGCTCCACTTCAAATTTTCACAGAGTCAAACAAGAGTGGGTATGACAACTGACCGTGGGTGAGTTGACGAGATAGCGGAGCATTTCGCCAATGTACTGGAAGCTCGTGACCTCGTATTTGCAACAGTCGCTCCAGAACTGAGACGCTGAGAACTTTTCTCTTAGTACCACTGTCGCACCTGAGGGAAAATTAATGTTAATGGCAATGAGTGAGTTTTTCTAGACATCTAAGACAGGAGTCTGTGGCTGTCACTTTGAGTAAACAGAAGCATCTATCGACACAATCATAATCGTGCTGAGAAAAAGCTAGATAGGCAGACAGCAGTGGGAAAGAACTGAAGATGCACAAGGGCGACAGTAGCGATCACATTATAATGATTCTGAGGCTGAACACTTAAAATAATACTCATTTTGTGCTATCACGACGCGGTGGAATCAGGCGCTCGTCAATTTTTGGGCAAGTGGAGTTATTGGTATCGTCTGAAAGCTGATTAAATTTGCCTTGCTTCCAATGAAATAAATATATATTTATCTTGAATAGAACTCAAGATATCTGCATTTGAAGAAAGGGAGGTCGCCTGGTTTCAGTGCTGAAATTAGCGAGAAAATGGACGCCTAAATCTGGTAACTCTAATGGCTAAAGAGTCTTTGAAAACTGAAAAATGACGTATTTTGTGCCTTTAATCAACTTTTTCAGTAAAATTCACATGGCAATGTGATTTTATGGATATAAAAGAGGTTAAGCTAAAAAATTAAAATTCGATAAAAATGTCCAAACTAGCGGAAACTGCCTGTTTCTCAGATTTCATTATTTGGACGAACGCTTGATTTCACCACGCAGCCTCACAGTTTATGTTATCACGAAAACGCCAGTTGAAAATTGTTTGTCTCCCCCGCCCCCTCCCCCCTCCCAGATTTAGTTTCAGGATCAATGTGTATTGCAATGGACGTTCAGGGGTGTCTTTGTAGGTTCCCTCGTCTCTTCCGTTTTCCTTCGCCATAATCTGTTCCTGGTGAAGGTGCTGACAAACGGATTGGTTGTTAATAAACCACAACCCAGCAATTCCCTTTCAACAATTTCATTTAAAGATACAGTACCACCAAGTTTTCTCACTTATGATAAGTAAAGGTATGCACATCTACACGTTACTTGCCATTTAATACATGAAAAAAGCCCAACGTGGCAGATAGACAGAGACTATAGACATGAAGAACAGGAGTAGGACAAACAAGTAACATCCTCCAACCTCACGAGGGCACTTCCACATCTCCGATGCAACATTCTTTAAACAAAAATTAGAAAAATGCCCAAAACAAACAAAAACAAACAAACAAACAAATTAACACAGAAAAAAAAATCAACCAAACTTGTGTTATGGGACATGTCCAAAGCTTAAGTTGTGTCAATCAGGGTGTAAAGCACCTACATTAAAATACTTATTGTTTTCAAAACGTAAGGCAATACGACATTACGACAGAATAGCCTATTTGGCCAACTATTAAAATTTTATCGGAGAGTTGGGGACAATGGACTTAACAGAATCCCCCCACACAGATACGACACAGTTATTACTTTGTCTTGCTGGTCTTATTCTCATTGTCCTTATCTCACCGACAAAACAGTCAGCCAGTTGTTTTGTCGTAGTGTGTTACTGGGCTTACAGTTCGTGTGTAAGTTGTATTACGAGTCGTACCTACGCTGATGACGTTGAGAAGAGCCAAGTTGGTGGCAGAGGCGTGGTACAGAGGGAGGGTTAGGTACATGACGTCATTATGCGAGAACCCCAGGGGGGAGAAGCAGTGGCTGTGCAACACCGCTCTCATGTGTGAGATGATAGCGGGTTTGGGTAGACCTGAAAAACGAATTGTTGTGAAAATTAGGACAAGTGGGTAATTATTTGTCGAGAAGGAGGATGGGAGTTTTGAAGGGAGGGGGTGAGCTTAAACACATCTACAGCATTAACCAACTAAAACAGCTACTACTGCAATGGTTAATGACACAACTAGCAAAGGAACAGCAACAGGATAAACAACAATAACAACAAAAACAAAAATACGAGTGAAGTGGTTGAGAAACTTGAAGATGCATAGAAGGCAATGGACCGGTAAGCTATTTTTGCTTTTTTGAAAGGCTACGAAAACAAAGCGGGATAAGTACAGAAAGAGACCGTTCTTGCGAGAAAAAGACAACAACAACAACAACCTGAAGGTGGAGTCTTTTTATCTGGAATGTTCAGGAAATTTCGGATGTTAGCTGGATTCGACCTTCACACTTTCATCCGTTGGACAAGCTCGTATCAAATGTGCCCCCTCCGAGGAATTTCGTTTGTGTATGTGTGCATTTGTGTGCTGCTGCTGTTTGTGTGTGTATGTGTGTGTATGTAATGTGTGTATGTGTGTGCATGTGTGTGTGTGCGTGTGTGTGCGTGTGTGTGTGTGTGTGTGTGTGTGTGTGTGTGTGTGTGTGTGTTTGTGTGTGGGGGAGAGAGGGAATCCGCTGATAAGGAACAGCAGAGACACCACAATAATTTAGTGCCTGCTTTTTACAGAGCGAACTACATACCGCATCATATTAACGTACATTAATAATAAAGCGTTTCGCCTTCCATTTATGCAAATATGATTGAAGAATAACAGAAGTGAATGAACAATTGATCGGAAACAACAATGATGAAGGCAATTTATCTGTCAGGACCTCGTAATGCTTCGTTTACAACCGTTTTCAGCACACAGGATGTTTTTGCAGTCAGGAAAGGAAAACAAACGCCAAATGGTATGGATATCACTTTAATGACTCAGTGAAGTCTGACACCCCTACAGACACAGTTAAATCTGGTTTTAAGGAAGAAGGTTTGTTCCTTCAATTGAAGAGAAATACTTTTCGAGGAAGGGAAAGCATATTTTGGACCCACACAAGGATTTGAACTCTCTGCCTCGACATCTGAGAAAAGGTTTACGGCCACTTATTGGTGAGGAGGATTTTTCATTATTTCAAATTAATACAACCCTTCAGTTTCAGAGAGAGAGTGAGAGAGAGAGAGAGAGAGAGAGAGAGAGAGAGAGAGAGAGAGAGAGAGAGAGACTGTAAGTGTGTCCATTTGCATGTGCGTATGCGGTCGCGTTAGCGCGCATGCATATGCGTGTGTGTGTGAGTGTGTGTGACTAGTGTGTGAGTGTGTGTGTGTGTGTGTGTGTGTGTGTGTGTGTGTGTGTGTGTTTGTGTGTGTGTGTGTGTGTGTGTGTGTGCGCGCGTGTGTTATTGTGAAAAAATAGGATGTCCTTCCCGGAGAATTAGAAAGCGACACTAATGATTTTAGATTTGAAACGTCTCCATCGGGGTTATTTCAGGCCGATTCACCCTGCCTGTTTCGGTAAACCGAGGCTGAGTGGACTATATCGTCTAAGCAGACGGACGCAGAAACAGGTGATCCAAAAAAAAAGCACTAAGGAGGGATCAGATCAGAATACATGTAGTGTCTTTCGCGGTCACTGTCAAGCCGGAAAACGAAAAACTTAGCCATAACACCATAGGTGTCGGTCAAGTGGGTCTAAGTCAATTAAAAAAAACACGTTTCCTGTTATGTACATTGTCTACCCTCGGCCGCCCCCCCTCTCTCTCTCTCTCTCTCTCTCTCTCTCTCTCTCTCTCTCTCTCTCTCTCACTCTTTATTAGGACTCCGTTTAGTTACCAATCCTCGCTTTCAATAAATAATTGACGTAAACTTACCAGTGGTCCCGGAAGTATAAATGAAGGCACACGGATCACCGAGCTTTAGTGTAGATCGTAGAGATAAGTCAAGCTGTTCCGAGGAGACTCTGTCCATTGCGTCTGAAAAACACGGGAGGTCAACCGGTGGTCGAGAAGGTCCATAGGTGACCACTTGAGTGTTTTCCAGAGAGGATTTTAGCGGGAAGACGCGTCCAGGCAGGTAAGCATCATGTCCTGAGATTGATATAACATATTTGAAGACAGAATGGCAATTTGGAAATCACTATTAGAATGAAGCATCAGTGTTTGTGGATACTGTTCAAATACCATGACACGTAAATGAATACATTTAATGTTTAGCTTATCAGAAACGTTTTCATAAAAGAATACGTATAAACACAAACACACATAGAACGCACACACGAGAGCGAACATACAACTGCACACACAGGCTTATCTACAACGGACACACACACAGGCACACACAGACACACACACACACACACATACACATACACACACATACACACACACATACACACGCGCATGCAAGCTCTCTCACACACACACACACACACATATATCTGCATGCAGATGCACACACAGTCTCTCTAACAAACTTACCCTATACATAGATCTGTATAGATTGGCATTCATACATGTATAGATATATGCTAGAACACAATAATGAAAGTACATGTACATTGTACACACAATGGTTCACGTGAATTTGATTATAGTAACATAATAATTACATGCAAGGGTGGATCAGAAAGTAATGGTTAAGATAATGACTTCAGTTTAAAAAAACAACAATACACATAATCAATCTATAACATGTCTGTTCCCTAAACTAATCAGCCATCGGAGTTTATTGTGACGTCACTTTTGACTATTTAATGACGTCCCACAAACAAAGAATGGTTTGCACTCTGGAGGAAAAAAGAGGAAATTCACAAAAAGAAAATATGCCTTTTACAGCTTTATGGAGTGTGAATTTGGCGTATTGCAAAAAAACGAATCCAAAAAAGTTTGTAGAGTGTGGAGAATGTGCGAGTTCATACATGTGTATAAGTATAACACAGTTTGTTGTAAGGTAAGAGGATTTAGTGAAGACAGAGAGAGAGAGAGAGAGAGAGAGAGAGAGAGAGAGAGAGAGAGAGAGAGAGAGAGAGAGAGAGAAGGAGGGAGAGAGAGACAGAGGGAG